CTGGAAAATGGATGATGTTTAGGGTTTGATATAATAGCAGTATCTATACATGTATTAAATTGCTCCACACTATAAGACTGGCAGTTATATTTTATAGTTGTATCATCGGAGTTCATAGTTAGTGTTGAACATTTACAAGTTAGTTGATTTGGTCATTTGCTGAATGGACTTTTACAATTAGAGATACTTCGTCTTTTCTGGCAAATATCTTCCCATTATGAGGCCAACTAAATTTCCATTTCGCGGCTTTGCGTTTGTTGTTTGTTTCATGAAAACGTTTCTTGTTATTTTCGGTAAGCTGCTCGTTTATATAAATCCGTTGGTTTGTTCGTTGTAATCCTCCATTTTTTATGTCTGATGTAGATTTATTATACAAGTTCTTCTTTGCTTTATATAATTAATTTCTAATACTTTTTCTTGTAAAGCCGGCGATAGTCCCAGGTGAGCGCTGCCCTGGTTTCAATGGCAGCCGGTGACTGATATCAATGTCACATTCCGATATTTGAATTCCTGCTAGATCGGCTTTCTTTAATTAATATTTCGTCAGTATTTTAACCTTATATTTCAGATATTCCCTGTATTTCCAGGTTGTTATGCTTTGTATACTGCTGTATTGTTTCGATGTCTTCTTCTGCTTTGTTCAGCTTATCTTCTGTACTCGTCACTTTCTCACGCAATTTTGTATTTTCCTGTTGTAAGTCTTTCATTTGTTTCCTATAGCTCTCAAAAAATGTATTCATATAGTCTACGGACCTTTGGCAAATCAGAAAAAGTAGTTACCACGGCTGATAACTGGTCCACCTTACGACACAATACATCGAGTCTGGTTTCAATACCTTGGGGTGATGTTCCGTCCGCCGTCCGCCAAGCCTTTCACTTGTTCGAGGAAAGCGTTTCGCTTCACATTTTCGGCATAGATTTAAATCGCCTTGACATAAACGCACTTGTTTTGTAGTATCGCAATCGTAGTATTTCATTATGTTGTAAACTTCGCAAACTAAGTTTTGAGCATTGTTTCTCTTGAAAAGGGAGCTGAGCTGCCTACGATGCTGCTGTTGTTTGCGTTGTTGTTAGGACATAACGGACTGTTGGTCGTATGTGTTGTGTTTTGCGGGGTATTGTAGTAATATTTTGCTACACAACGGCCTTTCGCATTTTTTTAATCGCTCAAACGCCATTGTCCGAATCGCGCGGTTTACTTTTTAAAGGGAGGTCGTCGTCGCGCTGCGCATTTCCGCCATTTGTGTTAATAAACACAGAATTTGCCATAATCGTCTTCCAATGGAAATCCAAAGTATGAGGTTTGACCTGGACGCGACTTGCATTAATTCCGGTGACTCCTTCAGTTCGTCTTTACATGACGTTTCACGTGACAACTGGTCATAAACAAAACGCAGTGCCGTGTTGCAGATCGCGAAGAATCGCCGATACATTTTTCCCACTTGCAGTTTGCCTAGTTGATCCATAATTGATGCATGGAACCATGGTTGATGCGAGTAAACGGGAGTAAACGGGAGCCGGGCACCCTTGCTACGTTCTCACACTGTAAAAAACGCCGGTGTTGACACTGTTTTTGCTGTGCAAATATTAGCTAATCTGCTGAATTGCCTGCTCGCGTTCTCACTTAGTAAAAAACAACGGTGATTTGGGCCCACAACGAATCATATCACAGAAAGTTCAATAAACAACATGGCAAATGCATTTGCTTTGTTCCTGTTTCTCCATGTGTTTTTACGCTCGAGAAAAGGGCAACGACGATCGATTAATCGAGATTTCGAAGAGCAAGAAGTCGCCAACTTGTTGTGGTTACTAAAAAAGATAGTTAGGAAACGCTATTGTTAAAAGGTGTGAATCTGCCAAATTCCTCAAGGATGCGTGTCGCGCTGTGTACGCCCTCTATTGCTTGAGATTTCAAGGCCCACCATTTTGTTTCATTTTTGTGTCGATCACTTGATGTTCCGCGAATTTGAAATTTTAAGCTCGTTTTCGATAGAATATCCACGTTTAGTGCACAAGCTCTACGAAGAACTACACGTACATTTCGGATGAGTACTCTTTGTGACTGTGATAACATTCAGAATCGAGAATCGTCATTTATCGTTTTCACTGTTGTCATGAAAGTAAGCTTGGGTCCCGGAAGAAAAAGTGACAACAATTCTAACCCCTAAGTCACTATTTTAAAATACATTATATTATAAAAAATACTACCAAATGAATTTTTAGTATACTACTGTGCGTATTTATGAAGGTTGTGTGCGATTTGGGGGCTTATTAGAGTAAATGTTATCGTTTTTCTTTCGCGTCACTGTATCAGCCATTTTGTTTAAAGTCGTAACACTTTTTTTGTAGACGCCGTAGAAATCGTTGAAAATGTATTCAACATTTTCCGCCAGTTTCATAAAATGCCTGCTTAATTGTTCTTGTCTGTCCTTGTTTCAGTTTTTTGGTAAATTTTTCATGTTGCAATATTCAGCGTGCCGTTAAATGCGGTTTAGTCCACGCTACAATGTTTGAACACATTGAACTGTCGGTACAACTTTTCTAGCAGTCTCTTCGCAAATCAATTTTTCAAACCCTTTTTAACCGTTCTTAATTTCATTGGAACTGCCTGTTATTGTATATTTGGTCTGCTTACATGCATTTTGTAGAGCATGAGCGGGTTATTTCAGTTATCTTATCGCATATTTTTTTTATTTCCGTAACCGTGTTAGGTCGAACAAGAACGAGAAACGATCGGTTCATGTTCACGCAATTCGCGTGTATGAATAAAGCAACAATAGACCCAGCGACCCGAGCGATTTGGACTCGACAACGCGTAAATAACTGGTGTGAAGAAATAGGATTCTCTCCAACAGATATTAGTAATCTTTTCTTTGTCTGACCAGTTCGACATTTGACTTGTGACCTCTGATGCAATCTTGTGTGATGTCAAGCAAGTAATGTCAAAATAAGTCGGCGATAGAAGGCCGTTGGTCGTCGTATTGTGTTCACACGGCACATTCCATTGTGCAAGAGCCGGTGTGACAACGGCGTTTAGGATCTGGTCCACTCCTTTTAGGACGGTGTCAAAAACGCCGACGCCACAACGGCGTATTCTGTTCACACACAACGTTCTCAAATAAATTTCGTCTAGTGAGAACACCACCGCGGCCGCACGTGCAGCAACTTATTTGCATATACATGTATATTGCAAAAGTGACTTATCAGACAACGAGTTATTAATACTGCCAGAGTCCCTCTACAACGGACTGTAATACTGCGGGTAGTTTATCCAGAGCACTGAATACACGTATTAACAAAAACAATGCCGACAATGGAAATAACCAAGTTTCTAGGATCATGTATCATTCTTCTGGGATTGACATTGGCACTGAATTTCGTCATGCATTTTAAAAGCCTCGCAAATGTGAAAATCAATGTCACGAGTTTCCGAGAGCACCTCTATGCGTTCCAGTACGTTGATTACAATTCTGTGCATGTCAGACGGGGTGGGATTATGTTGACTCGTTTTACGGTATGACATTGCTACATGTTGTCGCTCCTCTTCGACAAAACTTATGTATTAAATAATCACTCGAAAATTTTCCAAATATGAGTGATTGGGAAGATTCTATTGATGCGATGGGGTATTAGTGATTGTGGACATTAGATTGAAACGATTGAATATAATAGCGATTATGGGCAATGAAATGTATAGCACACGAACAGTCATATTTGTGTAATGCTAGAAACTCGACTTGAAACCCATGCATGATGAATACATCTTCTTAATAATGTCTAATAAATATACTGCTAAACTGATGTTCCTGGCCTCCGTGCACGTAACATATCACCGAATCCTTTATCGCAATGGGTAGCTTATGGGTTTACCCAATTCTGAGCATATAAATGGGTTTTACACCTATCACAAACATTCATATTCGTGTGATGCTAATTATAGTCTTTGAAACTCGACTTAATATCCATGTAGGGTAAATACATCTTCCTAATAATGTCTAATAAAAAATACTGCTAAACTAACATATCACCGAATCCTTATCGTAATGGGTAGCTTAATGCCATTAAATAAACCTATAAATGGGTTTTACTTCTGTCTTGAAATAAACAAAACAAAATAAATACTTATAAGGTATAATTTTCAACCATAACAAAATAAAAAAAACGACGACCTTTTTCTTTAAATAGTCATGATAATGCTGCGAATATTTTAGTTTCCAGAAAAATAATCTCCTGTGGAATATATGACGGTGGGTAAACATAGAGATTGCATTGCGGTCGGTTTATTTCGGTCATGCACAATAATCTCACAATTTCAAATTGCTAGATAGATGTTTGAACATCATTCTGCTTTTATTGGCAGAATTACTCGATTTATTTTATTTTATTTTATTTTATTTTATTTTATTTTATTTTATTTTATTTTATTTTATTTTATTTTATTTTTATTTTATTTTATTTTATTTTATTTTATTTTATTTTATTTTATTTTATTTTATTTTATTTTATTTTATTTTATTTTATTAAACTGCAACCAATAATTTTTTTTTACAATTTTACAAAATTACAATTACAACAACCATGGAACTATGCAACAACTTTAGGCCTGAGTAAATTTACATATAAAGTACAAATACAATGACAATTTAACATAAAAAGAAATTAAGAACAATAATAAGAAAAAAAATACAAAAACGTAAAACACTACTGTATGTAGCTAAACTATTCTTAACATTACTGGAAAGCTTTTTGTTTAATTGTATATAAATATATAGCTTTCCAGTGGTAGAATAGTTGAAATAGTTTAGTTAAGATAAATATATGTTACCACAATTGCTCTATTTTATAATTTTTTTCAAAATTCATCCTATCAATGTGCTTCTCAAATACGAGAGTCAGGCGCCAATGAGGTAATTCTCATGGACAAGCATGTATTTTAAATCGATGTTGCGAGACTTGAGTAGACAGTGATTACCGGACCGGTATCAGTTCAACAGATTCACATGGGTCTTGAGCAACCAGATATAAAAGTGACTGAAAGGTTAATAACCTTGTTTAAAGAAAAAAATGTTTAAAAAAACAAATATTTGTATATTTTAACAGTTAATCCGAGAGTTGTTACTAAGCATGAAACGTTCCATACTGAAATATTTTGTTTGACTATTATACAGGTACAACGTGAGTATTCCGAAATACAAGCCTGAGCATCAAATAGTATTTATTAAAACCCATAAGACTGCCAGTACAACTACATCCACCATCATATTGCGATATGGCTATATCCGGGAATTATCAGTCGCCCTCCCGCTGCATCATAAGAAAAAAATTTCAATCAAGAAACTGTTCACCGCTGACCAAGTGGAAGGATACTCACGCGGCACCAAAGAGTTCAATCTCATTGCATTCCACTTGCGTTACAACCACAAGGAACTGGACAAAGTAGTGCCTGGGGCAAGGTATATAACTATACTGCGGGAACCGGCTGCACAATTTGAGTCGGCTTTTGGCTATTTTGAGATAGCGAAGCATTTTGGTTTGGAGGGTACTTCAAACCCTCTTGCTGTATTCATGAAGTCACCAGATCAATACTATTCTTATAGGAGCGCCTTTTTTAAAGGGAAGTACCAACTTCGAAATGGTATGGCATTCGATCTCGGGTTGCCGCATAATATTCACACGAAACCTGACAAAGTCATTCAATGGAAAATTGCTCGCTTGGGGAAAGAATTTGACCTTGTCATGTTGACAGATTATTACGATGAATCGTTGTTACTACTCAAAAAATTACTTTGCTGGAAATGGCATGATATCCTGTACATTCCAAAAGGAATCCGAAGCAAAAGTCATAAGTACGCCCTCAATCAGTCTTTGACAGAGAGTATACGGAAATGGAACAGCGTTGACGTGGCAATGTACAATCACTTTAATAGAACGTTTTGGCGGAAAATTGCAGAATATGGGCCAGAATTTCAAAGCGATCTGTTAGAATTCAGAAATCGCCAGGCAGAATTTTACGACGAATGCATCAGCCCCCAGTTATCTCAAAGAGACCAAAGGGAGACAGGACTCACGTTAAAGGAGAGCGCTTCAAAATACTGTGAATTGTCTTATTATAGAATCAATCAATACAACTCTATGATTCACAAGCAGAAAAAATACCTTTAAAGCAAAAAGTTAAAGGCCGTGTATTTGACGAGAGTTAGAGAAATTCAAACTTTGTACTTTTGCAATATTGCGAACATTTATCTTATGGTGGCGCTGCCGGGAAAAATGCATTTAGAGGTGGGATTTCACTTTTTTAACTTTTTATATACCAGTAGCAGAAAACGTCCTTGTTCTTGAGTGAAAATTCAAAATTCTAATGTGAGTAGAACACCTTATAAACTAGGTTTAAATTATTAAAAACAAACACATGTGCCATGGTCTTAGTTTAACTGTAAGTGTTTAATTTGCATAACCTTGCTTAATTAATGTTAATTGATCGCTGGAGCTTAAAGCGCGGTGGTCGAATTTCATGTAAATAAACAATGTATTTTACACGCATTGTATACGTCGCTATGAGTCTCATATATCGAACAGGACGCGGCACGACGACTGCCGCCCTTTAATAGTAGTATGCAAACCATGTTTCCGGAAGACCAGTTTGGTTTCCTGTGTACGTCTTTCACCATGGAGCTACATCCATGATTTCACAAACGCCGTTCCTACGCAACACATCAGCTATTTTATATCCCGCAATTTATTTATTATATACAACAATGCCAGGCGTAGTGAAACCTGTGCGCTCTGTGGGAAAGAAACTTTGACCCTGCATGAAAAGACGCGACAAGGCTGGG